GGGGGGGGGGGGGGGGGGGGGGGGGGGGGGGGGGGGGGGGGGGGGGGGGGCTTATTTTTCTTCATGTTAATAAAATTCTTGATTTTCTTGTATTTTGTAAATACTATACTTGCTAAACATGGTAGAAAATCAGAAAAACTCAAAATTATTCCGTTGATAAAATTTCGTACCATAGTTGCACAAAGAAAAATTACTCTATGGATATTATCTCCCAGTGGCAAATGGGAGGGCGGATAGGGCTCAGCGCGGTAGTGTGCAGAGTTCGATTCCCCGCAAGGTGGAATTGGCTTTGTTGCAAGCGGGAGTTACCATATGGGTTAACAGTCTTGGCCTATCCATATGCTCTCCACCCTGGCTCCTGGGAGGCACATCCTGCGATTTACCTCCTCCCGATGGCCCAGGACAGGGTCGGTCGGGGCCCCTAAGGTTGGGGTTCAACTTTTTTTTTTTTTTGAGAAGAAAATAGAGTTGCCCTATACTTGGGGACCACAAGCACAATTTGAGATAGCATTGGATAAGAATGAATGATTTTACTGATCCTATTGCCCTTGTTGGTCCAATACCTTTAAGGTTTTTTCCTACATAGCTTTTTTGTTTTTAAACACTTCATACCTTGTTTTTTTATTTTTGCTGCTTTAAAATATTAATAAAATATTGAAGAGATTCTTCAAATTTTCGATCCAGTATTCATGCGCAAAATAACTATTTGTGATCTTGCGTTATTTAGTTCTCAACGATTCTACCTAAATCAACTAGCATTAAATCCAGATTACACTCTATCATGCTATTTAAGAGATTTGTCTATTTGTAAATATTTTTGTAGAGGAACTACTGCATAGAGCAGAGATGGCACGTGTTTATGAGCACATTGACTTGTTTACACAATGAATGGTTGTGATGACTACCCAACAACAAGGTTTAATGGGTTTTTGAGTCGAAGGAGTGTGCGAAAAGCTTCTAGTTAAGTTATTGTGCCTCTCACGCTACTGTCGAAGGTGTAGAAGAACACTTACCTAATACAGTTTAATTGATTACGAAAAACAGGACATATGTGAAGGCTAGCATGATCCAAAAGATTCTATGGTTTGAACGAGCACACATCTTTAAGAAAAATATTGATGAAATACGAAATCTGCTAATTAATAGAAGATTGTGGCTGAATTTGATTTTAAAAAAAAAAAAGTAAGAAACAATTTTTTACTTTTTTCAATGACTGGTGATAACAAGCATGAAAACCACATCATTATATAAATCAAGTGATCCACCCCCCCC